AGACGGCCAAGATGACCTTCAAGATGCCAACGTGTTCCCCGAAGGCTTTCCAAACCGATTCGGAGAACACATGGTCCGATAGCTTGGCAGGTCTGGCCTCAACGTTCGGCCACATAGGCGCTTCCACAAAGGCAGGGGGCGGCGGTGATTCGCCGTAGGCGTCTTCGATCTGCCGCCCCCTGTCGATTCATCGCAGGGGTGCCTGGCGTGCTGAACCCTCTCGGTTTTGGTTTTGGCTCGTTTCCCAAAAGAACTCCCCCTGGGGCTTCGGCCCGTCCCGCCGGCCACCTGGAAAGATTGCCAAGGACCTCAATCCGGAAACACATCCTCCAAAATGGTCCAAGATGGCCTCCAAGATGGGCCTCCAAGACGGCCCAAGAGAGGAGGAGATGCCTCCAAATCCGCCCAAGAAACCGCCGAGACAACGCAAGACGGTCCAAGAGGTGCCCAAGAGGCCTCCAAGACGGCCCAAGAGGCCTCCGAGAGGTCCTCCAGGAGGGCCAGAAGAGGCCAAAATCATAGTTTTTCCTTAGGTTCGTACAGGTTCTTCGTACTTGCTCCTTTTCTTTCGGCTTACCGACGACCCAAGACGGCCCAAGACGCCCCCAAGATCGCCCCCACACGCCCAAGAGGCCTCCAAGATGGCCTCAGGACTGCCCAAGAGGCCCCCAAGACGGCACCAAGAGGGCACAAAGACGACCCAAGAGGCCTCCAAGACGCCCAAGATGGCCTCTACGACGGCCCTGGAGCACCCCAAGAGGGCCCCAAGTCGGCCCAGAGAGGCCCCCCAAACGGCTTCCGACGGCATCAGACGGGCCTGGAGCCCACCAAGATGGCCGAAATTGGCTCGAAGCTGGCCCAAGACGGCCCAATAGGCCTTCAAGAGGGCCTCCAGGAAGGCCAGAAAAATACAGAAACACTGATGTCCCTAAGGTTTTTCAAGGATTGTGACATTTGCTTCTGTTCGGCGGTCTGACGGCCCGAGATGGCCCGAGAGCCCCCAAAGATCGCCCAAATATCGCCCAAGAGGCCTCCAGGATGGCCTCAGGACTGCCCAAGAGGCCCCCAAGACGGCACCAAGAGGGCACAAAGACGACCCAAGAGGCCTCCAAGACGTCCAAGATGGCCTCTAATACAGCCCTGGAGCATTCCAAGAGGGCCCCAAGTCGGCCCAGAGAGGCCCCCCAAACGGCTTCCGACGGCGTCAGACAGGCCAGGAGCTCACCAAGATGGCCGAAGTTGGCTCGAAGCTGGCCCAAGACGGCCCAAGAGGCCTCAGGATGTCCCCAATGTTTCCTGCAAGACGGCTGAAGATGGCCTCCAAGATGGCCACGTTGGCCCAAGATGGCCTACAAGATGGTCCAAGATGGCCTCCAAGTCCGCCCAAGAGAGGAGGAGATGCTTCCAAGTCCGCCCAAGAAACTTCCAAGACGGCCCAAGACGGCCCAAAACGCCCCCAAGATCGCCCCCTAAAGCGCCCAAGAGGCCTCCAAGATGGCCTCAGGACTGCCCAAGAGGCCCTCAAGACGGCCCCAAGACGGCCCAAGAGGTGCCCAAGAGGCCTCCAAGACGCCCAAGATGGCCTCTAAGACGGCCCTGGAGCACCGCAAGAGGGCCCTAAGTCTGCCCGGAGAGGCCCCCCAAACGGCTTCCGACGGCGTCAGGGCCCGAGAGATCTCCAAGATCGCCGCAAGATCACCCAAGAGGTCCCAAGAGGCCACCAAGACTGTCACAATAGGTCCCACAGATGACCCTAGACGCTCGCGATGGCCTGCCTATACGGCGTCTAACATGGCCCCAAGAGAGCCCAAGATGGCCGCAAGATGCCTCCAAGACGGTCCAATAAGCAGCCAAGACGGCCTTGGATGACCTCAAGATGGCCCAGGACAGCCCAAGAGGCACCTCCAAGAAGTCGTTCAGGCCCGCATGCTTTTTTCCTGTGGTTTGGGATGATCTTGGCATTTGCTCATTTTCGGCATTCCAACGGCCCACGATGGCCACAGAGGCCACCTAGATGGCACCGAGAGCCCCCAAGAATCCCCCGAGACGGCCCCCTGACGGCCCAAGAAGCCCCCAAGACGTCACCAACAGTGCCCCAAGACGGCCTGCGGCATTTCCAAGACGCGGCCCCGAAGCGCTCCAAGAGGGCCCGAAGTTGGCAAGGAGCGGCTCCCAAGGCAGCTTCCGACGGAGTCAGACGGGCCAGGAAGGCCCTCAGATGGCCAAAGGGCCTCCCAGGGAGCTCCCAAAGGCCCTCCAAAGGCTCAAGGAAGCCCCCACTAGGTCTCCAAGAGGCGCCCAGGAAGCTCCCAGGAAGCTCCCAGGAGGCTCAAAGAGTACACCCCAAGAAGCTCCCAAAAAGCCACTCCATCCTCCTCCTCCTCCTCCTCCTCCTCCTCCTCCGTTTTCCTCCCTCCCTCCTCTTTTTGTTGGTATTATAATTATGTTTTCTTATTCGTTCGTTATTATTGGTGCTCTTATGTTTCTCATCATCTTTCTTCTTCTATCTCCCCCACGTGGTCCCCGACAGGTTTCCGCCACGGCTCGGGAACGCACAGTCCGATAGAGCGGCTGAGCTCTGGTTGCAACGTGCGGCCACATGGGCGCTTCCATGTGACCGTGGGCGTCGTCGATCGGCTGCACCCTGTGGTCTTCGCACAGGAGCACACGGCGTGCCAAACGTCTGGCAAGTTTTCAAGTTGGTATCTGAAGAACTCCCCGTGGGGTCTCGGCGCCACCCGCTGGCCACCCGAAGAGCGCCGAGAACAGATCACCCGTTGCAAATCGCCCAAGATGCCTCCAAGACCGCGACGATGGTCCAAGAGAGCCCAAGACGGTCCAAGAAGCGCCCAAGAGGCTCCTTAGACGGCCCAAGAGGCCTCCAAGAGATCCTCCCGAAGAAGCCGAAATCATGGAATTTCCTTAGGTGTTTGAAGGATTGTGGCGTTTGCTTCAAACAGGCCTTCCGACGGCCCAAGCCGGCCCCCAAGATGCCCCAAGATTGCCCAAGAGGCTCTAAGACGGTCCCAGGAGGGACCAAGAGGCCCCCAAGACGGCCCCCAAAGGGCCCCAAGACTGCCCGAGAGGTCTCCAAGACGCCCAAGACGGCCTTCAAGACGAGCCTGAAGCGCCCAAAGAGGGTCCCACGACGGCCCAGAGAGGCTCCCAAGACAGCTTCCGATAGCGTCAGACGGGCCAGGAACGCAGTAAGACCGCCACATAAACCCCCAAGAAGCCCCCCAAGGCCCCTAAGTAGCCCGCGGAGGCCCCAAAGAGGCCCCCAAGAGGCCCCCATGAAGCTTCCAGGAGACCACATGAGGATGACCCAAGAAGCTCCCAAAACATATCCTCATCTTTATCCTCATCCTCCTGTTCCCTCCCTCTCCTCATCCTCCTCTTCCTCCCCCGCTTCCGCAACGCCTGGGGGAACGCATGGTTCAATAGCGTGGCCAAACGTTGCCCAAATGTTTGGCCACATGGGCGCATCCTGAAAGGATCTGACAGGCAGGGGGCGGCGGTGATTCACCGTAAGCGTCTTCGATAAACTGTTGGAGCTCCGCGCAGATTTTTGGGATCGGCGCTGGATCCCCCCTGACTCAGGATCTGCCGTACTCCTCAGGCAAATTCGCTCATGGGGCGGAATTTTCCGCCCTACATTTCCAGCTCCTCTGATGTCGATGTCCGCCCGATCTTGCCGTCGCTGTTTCCACCAAATCTGTGCGGACATATCCGCCGTACTTTTCCGAGGCGGACATTCCCGCTTTACCTTGTCGCATTGTTTGGGGTGCATGTCCGACACAATCTCAAATCGGAGAATCAACCCAAGGAGGAGGAGGAGGAGGAGGAGGAGGAGGAGGAGGAGGAGGGAGGAGGGAGGAGGGAGGAGGGAGGAGGAGGGAGGGAGGGATGGAGGGGAGGAGGGAGTGAGGGAGGGAGGGCCCCCTTCCTGGCGTGCGGAGGCGCCGGCCACAGGGGGCCCCGCGCAGGCCCAAGATCCCCGCGCAGACCTCCGACAGTTCTCATGCTTTGCGCCGCTGGCTCTAGGTCGAGCTCCTCGGTGCCGCGGGCGAAGCGCGCGCAGGCCCGGACGCTGAGCTGGTAGAGCACCGCCTGGGTGCCGCCCACCTGAGGGGCAGCGACAGGGCGGGGGGGCTGGAGGAGGACGAGGAGGAGGCGGAGGAGGAGGAGGAGGAGGAGGAGGCGGAGGAGGAGAGGATGAGGAGGAGGAGGGAGGATGAGGAGGAGGAGGCGGAAGAGAGGGAGGAGGAGGGAGGAGGCGGGAGGAGGAGGAGGAGGAGGCGGAGGCGGATGAGGAGGCGGGAGAGGAGTAGGAGGGCATCAGAGGGGGGGGGGGGGGGGAAGGGGGGGGGGGGGGGGGGGTGGTGGGGGCACTCCAACCGACCTGGAATCGGCGAGGCATCGCCGATCGATCGGCGAGAGGCCCCCGGGTGGCGCACCCGCACGCTCCTCTGGGCGGGACGGGCTGCGGGGCCCTCCTCTCGGCGATCTGTGGACGACTTTGGGGGGTCGATGCCTCCCCCCTCCTCCTCCTCCTCCTCCTCCTCCTCCTCCTCCTCCTCCTCCTCCCTCCTCCTCCTTCCTGCTCCTTCCTCCTCCTCCTCCTCCTCCTCCTCCTCCTCCTCCTCCTCCTCCTCTCTCCTCCTCCTCCTCCCCTCCTCCTCCTCCCCCCTCCCCTGGCGCTGCCCCTGACCACCACGGCGCTCTGCTCGCCCACCTCGTGGCCCACGCCCGAGGCCCTGCAGGGGCAGGCGTGCGTGCGCGTGCGCAGGCGGCCGTTGGCGCCCTCGGACTGCTGCCGCACCTCGAAGTGCAGGTCGACCTGGGCTGTCGCTCCACCGATCCCCCGTCGCCCACCTTTGGCGGCGCGCGCAAGGGGGGTATAGGGGGAGGGGGGAGGGCTCCTTAGAAGGAGACTGCCTCTTCGAAGGCTGCCTCTTCGAAGGCGTCGACCTGGGCTGTCCCTCCACCGATCCAAAGCTTTTCGATATCTCAAAAGACGCTAATCCACGAGCAAAGGACCTTCAAAGTCGCACGCGTGAGCTGGGATGCAAGGATTCCCCTACTGTGCTACAATCTGAAAGATGCGGGACCTCTGCAACACGGTTATCTTGACCAAGGAACATCAAAAATACTCCGAGGGTCAGACCCGTCGCCCACCTTTGGCGGCGCGCGCAAGGGGGTATAGGGGGAGGGGGGATGGGCTTCTTAGAAGGAGGCTGCCTCTTCGACGGCGCCGCTTACCTCCATAGATAAGGCCCGCGCCTTCTGAGAAGCAGGGACGTGCTTCTAAGAAGCCCTCCCCCCTCCCCCCACCCCCCCTTGGCGCGTGGCTGACACCGGGTGTGGCCCTGGCCCCGCGGGCCGACCCGCCCACCCGGGTGGGGATACATGGGCGACTTCGGAAACCCGGAACCCAAACTGGTTTCATCCTCCTGGGGGCACATCTTATACTTCCGCCGCCTTCCGCCGCCGAGCTTCCGCCGGCTTCCGCCGGCCGAGGCCGCCTCGTTTTAGTTCCGCCGACCTTCCGCCGCGGAGGAGATGACAACTCCTTCGATCCTCGAAGGCAAGGCCTTGTTTGGAACGCCTCAGATGCCTGCTCCGTCGGGCTTCGCGGCCCCGGAGGCCTGGACCACCTCCTGGGGCCTGGCTTTCTCCCTCTTGAGACATGTCCTGACGGTCCCGAGGCCCGGCGAGGGCCCCCCGATGCCCAAAACATAGCAAAAGCTCGCGTCATGAAGCTTCACGACCCGAGGGGCACTTACGAGGGTGGGCTGGCGGGGTGGGCTAAGACGATGCCGACGGACCAGCGGCGAGGCGGGGTCGGCGAGCTGCTCGAGGAGCAGCTCGTCGTAGAACCAGGTGACGCGGATGCCCGTCCCCTCGTCCTCGACCTGGGCCATGACCTCCTCGGGCATGCTCAGGGCTGGGACAGGGCCTCGGTGCAGGCAGGACCTGCTGCCTTCTGCCGCGCGATCGGCTCCCGTCGTCCAGTCGCAGTCCGAGCACTTAGAGCTGGAGATCTGATCCAAGAACAGCGAGCTGGAACACCCAGGCCAGCTTGTGGCAAATCCTCAGTCAATCGCTGAACCGAACAGCAGGCAGATATTTTGGGACAAGCCACCAGGCTTGCACCGAGCCAGCCTCCCACACGATCTTCACCTGACATGCATGGCCATCGCTGAGAGCCCACAGATCGACCACCCGTTTGGCTCGGCGAGCCAATCACGTCAAGCCGAGCAGATCGGGTGATAGGTTCTTTCGGCGGCGCGCCCAATAAGGAAGGCGGAGGGGGCAGACCTTCTCAGCAGGCTCAGAAGGCCTCCGACCTTCTGTTGGGAATCCCGCTGCCTTCCCAGCAGAAACTGACGGAAAGGCTCGAAAACTTCGAACCCCGATGCCGTCCTCCTCCTCCTCCTCCTCCTCCTCCTCCTCCTCCTCCTCCTCCTCCTCCTCCTACTCCTACTCCTCCTCCTCCTCCTCCTCCTCCTCCTCCTCCTCCTCCTCGTCTCCTCCTCCTCCTCCTCGTCCTCCTCCTCCTCCTCCTCGTCTCCTCCTCCTCCCTCCTCCTCCTCCTCCTCCTCGTTTCTCCTCCTCGTTCTCCTCCTCGTTCTCCTCTCCTCTCCTCCTCCTTCCTCCTCCTCCTCCTCCTCCTCCTCCTCCGCCTCCGCCTCCGCCTCCTCCTCCTCCTCCTCCTCCTCCTCCTCCTCCTCCTCCTCCTCCTCGATCCCCTCCTCGAGCGCCTCCTCGAGACCCTCCTCGCTCCCCTACTCGGACCCTCCTCGCTCCCCTCCTCGGTCCTCGATGCTCCTCCCTCGATCCTCGATGCCCCCGCCCCTCTCGGGCGCGCTGCCGGCTCTCGGGCGCGGAGCGGCGCCTGCGGCCGCTGCGATCGCGGCACGTGCGTCGCACGATCGGCGAGGTGTGAGGGCCAGGCTCTGCCCCTCGGCGGCCTCCTCCTCGCCGCCTCCGGCGGGCACGGAGGGGGGGGGGCCGGGAATCCACGCGGAGGCGTCGCGGCAGGCCGGAGGATCGCCACGCCAGGGGCAACGAGGAGGAGGACAACGAGGAGGAGGAGGAGGCGGAGGAGGAGGAGGAGGAGGAGGAGGAGGAGGAGCAGGAGGGAGGAGGAGGAGGAGGAGGAGGAGGAGGAGGAGGAGGAGGCGGAGGCGGAGAACGAGGAGGAGGAGGAGGAGCAGGAGGGAGGAGGAGGAGGAGGATGAGGAAGAGGAGGAGGAGGAGGAGGAGGAGGAGGATGAAGAGGAGGAGGAAGGAGGAGGAGGAGGAGGGCTACGACGGTCAGGACGCGGAGGAGGCGGATACGTTCAGGTCGCGGAGCATGCAGCATGGAGCATGGATTGGCCTGGATCCAAAGACTCGGGTCTGCAAAGGAAAGTGGTGAAACACAGCAGGGAAAAGAGGGCATCAGCCACCATCGCGGTGCAGCGTGCAGCGAGTGGCCCCGCCCTCGCTAGCGAAGCGGCGCATGCGCACACAAGCGCGGCACTGTGAGGTAAGAACACATTCTGGCTCAACTTGGGCGTGACAACCAGCACCCTGGCATGTAGAGCAACGCGCATGGTGAGCCTGGCGCGACCCCAATGTTGGGGTGCTGTTTTGCTGAAGTCAGGCGCATGCAACGCCATGCAGGTCCATGATATTCAATGCGACGAGTTGCAAAGCACTTACTTATGCAAATCCCAGCCATCTGGGCCGTGAGTGATTTAGCGAGTTTCCTCTTCCACCCCCCTTCAAGATTTGATGTTGTTCTTTGTTTGTTTTGCCAGGATCAAAAGTTGAGGAGCATATCTGCAGAAACGAATCGTGGGCCTGCTCGGCGGGCTGCTCGAGAGTTGGCAGCTGAGCTGCCTCCACACTGAAGTCCCCGACCCATCTCCAAAGAGTGTCTTGGTTCGCTGGCTGATCGCGTGCGCGAAGACTGAACAGAGGGCTGGTGGATACAGGCAGGCACGAGACGTCCAGAGCACAGATTGCGAGCCCCTGCCTTGCAAGATGATATGCTTTCTTCCTGGAAGCTCTGCAGCGCGCTCGGGTACCAGTACACACGCAGAGAACATGGTCTAATTCAAGCAGATTAAAGGTGAGAAGAATCGTGGACTTTTCGCATGGAGCATGATACTGGTAAGAATCAGCACGCTGTAAGTTTGCGTTGAAGCGCCGTGACAGCTCAAGAAGTTGCTGCACAAACCAGAGTCTGGAAGAGTCTGGGCTCTCAACCAGCTCGGGGGGGGCCAGCATCAGCGGCGGCCCCCACTAGACTCGGGACGTGTGCCATAATCAAATTAGCGCTATCGACCTTACGCTGCTCGACCGAAGAGAGAGATGGTAGGCCAAAAAAATGCTGATCACTTCGATGCAGCGGTGGTCCGAGCCCGTCATTTGTTTCAGGCCCTCGACCAGGTTTACAATCGAGGCCCACATGGGATCCACGCACCTGTCTCTCGCGGACACGGCGAATAAAGAAAAATGTCACGGGCGACTCGGCGAGATCGGCCTCAGGCCCGTTGACGTAGTCCTAGCCCACGGCCGCGAGCCCGCACCTCCCGACTGCGCTGGAGAGGCTGGCGGACCCGCACATGAGCTCGTCAAAAGGTGGGTCGGCGGAGCCGAGGCCCCGCGGCGACCCGAAGCAGCGCGGAGGTCCTTCGCCCCGGGGCCGCCCTGGCCGTCTGTCGCTCGCCCGCACTTGACCCGCCCCCCGACGCTCTGTCGGGGGAGGGCCCCGAGCTGGCCGGGGGCGTCCTTCGCCTTCTGGATGAGAGCGGCTGGCAGGCTAGCCTCTGGACCAGGGCGCGTGCCTCGCAGCGCCTGGCGCTCTTGTCCGGGGCCCACCTGCCCCGCCCCTGCATCCCGGGAAGGGAGCGCTGACGGCCAAGTCGGTCGTGCGACGGCCCGCCGTGCCGCGGCTGGCGCAGCGCGAACCCGCTGGGGACGTCGAGCACCTTGAGGGCCCCGTGCCAGACGTCGCGGAGATGGGGGCCCGTGGGCCCGAAGAGCGGGCGCAGCGGGGGGGGGCGCACTTGGCCGCCTGCAGCACGTCCCCGAGCCACTCCGCCTCGATCGAGTCCAGCATGATCGATTCGCCCGAGAACTTGACCTTGCCCGCCTCGCTGCGGTCGCTGGGGTGGAAGGTCGGCACGAAAAAACGGGATGACGCCGACGGCGACACCGGGCCCCCCTCGAGCAGGTCCTCCGCCCCCGACGGGCGCAGACGCGAGAAATATTGCGAGCGCCATGAGAGCTGCCATGGGGGCCTGGAGCTTCACGACCATGATCTGGACGATCAGGGCGGTCACAGTCCACGGCGTCGGTGGTCGGGCGTGGCCAGGGCCCAGCCTCTCCCAGCCCTGCAGCGCGCGAGAGAGCCTGGGGAGGCGAAGCGAACCTCGCCTGGAAAAGTCGGGATGCTCCGAGATGAACGCTGCGTCGACCCGCTAGGCGGCACCCTGGGCGAGCCCCTCGGCCCAGGCGAAATTGGCGTAGCTCGTCAGCGCCAGGTCGGCCGCCTTGGACGACGCCAGGGATAAGCCGTTGGCCGCGACGAACTACTTGAGCTCCCCCGTGCAGTCCGAGTAGACGTCCTGGGTGGCTGGAGCCACCGTGTTCAGCTCGAAGTTCGAAGAGACTGCGCGCCCTCTGCGGCGCTCTGGAACTCGCCCGGCTGGGCGCCCGCTCGTCTCGCGAGCTGTCCTCGAACGGTGAGCCTCGGGGCCTGCCCCTGTCGAGCGGCAGCGCGCCGGTCGGTCGCCCTTCGGAGGCGAGAGACCTCCATCGCGGGCCTCCCAGCGACGCGAGCCCTTGTCCGCGCGGTTGAACTCAGACGGGATCCAGCGACGCTCGAACCGAACATTGGCTGCGATGGAGTAGGCGGCCCCCCGGCGGCAGCGCGGGAGGGGCCCGCGCGAAGAGCGTCTGCTCCTGGACAGGGCCAAGAAGGCCTCAAGGTCATCTCCCAGGTCGAGGTGGCGCTTGTTGAAGACCCGAAGAGACCGTTGCATGCGCCTGGAGCCCGCGTCGCCGGCCCTATCCATGAGAACAGCGATGGCCTCCGAGACGTGGAAGGGGGCGGCGAAAACCTCGCCCCAGAGCTCCTCCTCGAGAACCTCGAGCAGGACCTCGTTGAAGTTGGGGTCGAGCCCCCAGGGGCCCGCGCGGCGGGCGCCCTTGAATCCCGAGGCGGTGTTGGCGCCCCCGAAGACATCCAGCGGCGCGCCGTGACTGGGCCCCCCGATGGCCTCCGCGGCGCCCCCGCAGGAGTCCCCGTCGAGAGCGGGCCCCACGTTGGCCTCCGCGGCGCCCTCGTGCGAGTCCCTGGCGGGCCCCAGAGCAGGCGCGCGCGCGGCTATGGTTGAGGCGCGTGGTGTCTCCACCTCTCGACGACGCCCCCGATGGACGCAGCGACGGACGACGGCGGAGAAGTTGACGCCTCGGCCGCGCCAGCGTGGCAAGCGTTTGATGCGACAGCCGTGGAGCTCCACGGAATACCCCAAGTATGTGACATGGCGTGGAGAAGCGTTCGGCACTGCAAAACCTCAAGCGGCGCCGAGGGCCACGGGCGCACCCCCTCCGCATGATGGCATCTGATGAAATCGCAAAGTCCCCTGAGGATGCGCGACAACTCTCTGCGACACAAAATATGGTCAATCATCTGTCCAACGAAACGCTCGTATCTCCTGGCCTGCGACCCTCGGCCTGCCCCCGAGCCAGAGGCAGGCGCGCCTGGGCCTCTCGGACCGCTCGGGCCTTGAAAAGACCACGCGATGCACTTCGTCAACGAGGCGGCCCAGGCGGGAAAAAGTCGAGGAAGCCCCGGCGACCTGGTGGGCCTCGGCTCCGGCCGAGATCCAGCTGGCGATGATGTCGTCTAGCAAGCTGTCGCGTCGCGAAGGATCCGCGCCCGCGACGTTGATGCGATCGCAATAAGGCAACAGGCGCGCCCCCCCCCCCCCCCTCCAGGGATGGAACAGGGCCGCGGTCCGCGAGCAGGCGCTTGGGACCCAGTGAGGGCGCCCGCAGACATCGGCAGACGTTGCAGCGCTGCCCAGACCAGAAAGCTCAGTTCCACCCCATCGGGCCCGCAGAGTGGACGGAGCGAACCCACCCTCCGCACGTCACCAGAAGCGAGTCAACCGCACGAGCGCCGCACTGCGACAACATGGCCTCGGGCGCCGGGAGCGGCGAGAAAAACGAGCCGAGCTCCTCACCAGGCACCAAAGTGTAGAAGCAGTTGCGGATGTCGGCCTAGGCGCAGCATAAGACGCCCTTGAACATACCGCTGTCGTCGGTGTCGCACCACAGGCAAATCCCCCCTTGCGCTGCCAAACAACCCGTGCTCTGAGTTGGCGCGTGCTCGAAGCGCCCGTTGGGAATCCGAGCGCCCCGTGCCAGGCGCCGCTGTCCGCATGTCTTGGCCACGAAGAACGGGGCGACCATGTCCTTGGGATTGAAAGAGAAGGGCGCCATGCCCGCGAGGTCGCCCACGAAGATGCTGCAGGCGCCCTCGCGTTTCCGCAAGTACTCGTCCACGCGCGGAGCGATGGGGGGCTCGGCCTCGACGCTCTTGCCCCAGGCATAAGCGGTGCGCAGCATGCGCGTCTCGAACTGCAGCATATACTCCCTCCCGACCGGGTCGATCACCGTCTCGACGCGGGGCGCGGCCTATCCCACTCTGGGGACGTCTACTCGGGACCTGTCACACTGCGCAACCGGACTCTTGACCTCGTCGCCGGTGCACGAGAGGTTGCCAGCCAGAATCTTACGAACGGCCTCGCAGCGGGCGTGTGCGGCGCTGGCTCTTGGGCAGCCTTCACCTGGGAGAAAATGGCCCGATGGGCCTCCCTCTGAGCAGCATTGGGAGCGCCGCGCTGTTGCGCAGGAGGTTTGGGCGATTTGAGGCCCCCAATCACCTCGTTGCCTTCTGCCCGGATAGATCGGTGTCGTGCCGGCCTGCGGCGAACACGCACAGAGGCCCCTTGCCTCGCACGAGGTGTCCGCGCGACGAGGGGCAGCGGGAAGAGATCACGCTGTCGGACAGGTCGCGATGACAAAACTGCGGCGGGCACGTCCCGCACTGAGGCCTGGCGTCGGCTGGAGGGCGGCCTCAGTCTCCAGCCTGGAGGGGCCATCCCCCGTCGGATCCAGATGCGCCTGGAGCACGCTGGCATTTTTCCTTAACTTGGCCTCCTCCTTCGCCTCGCGCGTTTCCTTGAGGATGGCGGACTTGTCCTTGAGGCTGTCGGTCACGTATTTCCAAGAGGCGGGAGCCATCGAGCAGCCGTCCTTCCTGCTCGGGGGCCCTCTCCCGACTGCCAGGGCCCGATGTTGAGCTGGTCGACCGCCAGGATGGACTCGAGCACTCGGGGTATCATCTCGTGCTCGTGGACCGAGCGGTCGCCCTCAGGGATTGTACAACCTACAGACCCGCGTCACGCCAGGACCGCACCAGGGCAAGAGACGGATGTGGGCCTTCGGCCATGGCTCCTCCGTCTGGCTCGTCTGCAAGCTGGGAGCCGGCGGCATTGGCAAACGGCCTACGACGAACTTCATCTTGATTGAACTTCGCATGCATCACTCGAAGGTCATCCGCAGCATAGCTCTCAATATCACGCCGTGAGACCAGCCGCGCCGTCACGCTGCCAGCGGGGAGGGGACGCCAGGTACTGGGCGAAGAGCTCGGCCCCCTTCCAGAGGCTGGCTCGGAGATCCCACGTGGGCAGGAGCTGCGCTGGGGCCGCGGCGGAACCATGCACGGCAAGGGAGCGCCCACCGCCAAAAAGCTCGAGCATGTATGTTATGGAACGGACACGGCATGTTCGTGTCTCTCATCATTCAAAGGCGAGCTCTATACAGTCCGTAAAACACGTATATGATTGCGTAGTACTGTACGGCTTAGCGTAGTACCGATAGGACCACCCTACGGGTGGCAAGGAGGTTGGAGGGGAGGGGGACGCGGTCGACTTGCGATGGCTCTGGGTTCTTTGGTGGTTTCTGCTACTTTCCTATTGTCGCGCGCATCTGCCCATCTATCTATCGACGTATCTAAAGAGTTATCTATTCAGGGCACTCATCTGCCTATACATATATATATATATGTGTAACGAACAGCCGACCTATCTATACACATCTAACCACATACATAAATGTCGATCGATCGTTCTATGTATATAGCAGACAATATAATCCGATGGTTATCTCGATATACCTGTCTGTCATCTGTCTACAGATCGACCCACATACCTAACAACCAAACAATCGATCAATGAACACATATGTATCATTCTGCCAATCTACGACTATATATATCTCTATATGTTCCTAAATACATATATATATATATATATAGCTGTATACATATATCTATCTATCTATCTATATATCTATATATATATATATCTATCTGTCTATGTATACATACATACATGCATATATGCATGTGACAATATATGCATGTGTCAATATATCTTTCCATGCATACATACACCTATCTATATATCAGTGAGCCGCCTGGACTATCTATAAATCTACCAATCGATGCATCAATCACATGTCTATACATAAGCAAAGCTATCTAACAATCTAACAATCGATCCATTAATCGATGTAGGGATATCTCTAGCTATTAATATATTTATATATATATATATAACCTATCGACCCGCCTATCTATCTATAGATGTACACATCTATGAACCATATGGACAACCGTCAGGACAGCCATCGGGACAACCATGAGACCAACCACCAGGACAGCCATCGGGACAGCCATCGGGACAACCATCGGGACAGCCATAGGGACAACCATCAGGACAACCATCGAGACAACCATCGGGACAACCATCGGGACAACCATCGGGGCAACCATCGGGTCAACCACAACCATCGGGACAACCAACCATCGGGACAACCACAACCATCGGGACAACCGCCGGGACAACCGCTAGGACAGCCGGGAGCCACGCCCGGCGCTCGGAGGGGGGGGGAGCGGCCCTTTAGGCAATAGATGGCCCCTACCAGTGCAAGAACTCGCGCAACTTCGCCTCGCCCGCGCGCACGACACGCACCGAAACCGAAGCCGACTTCCCGTGTTGGGGCCACTTTCGCTCACGCCCCCCCACCTCCGACTGTAGCAGGCGCACTGCCTCGCAGCATGTGACGTAGCCTCACAGAGCAGTGAGAGGTGGAGGGTATTCTTGGATCGCTCCACTGGCCATCGCTCGGACTTCCATTCCCTGTGTTTTTTTCGGTTTCGTGCGTGGCTTTTCCGCCAGATGATCAAGGATGCTCCTCGATGGTCCTCGCCCAAGAAGAATGCACACGTCCGAGCGATGCCGAGGCATGCGACGTAGCCTCGCAGAGCAGTGAGAGGTGGAGGGCATTCCTGGATGGCTCCACCCTCGGGAGCGGCCAAGAGGGGGGCGTCCAAGAGGGGGGGGCGCAAATCATGGCCGGCTGCATGTGCGCGGACCCTGGGGGGGCCGAGGCACGTAATGAAACAAGAAGAGGCGCCATGAGATCTGGGGAAATATCATGGCCCACGCCATGATATCCACCCCCCCCTAGTCATCACCCCCCTCTTTTCCGCCCCCGACACCCAGCGGCCGCCTGCAGGCCCATCGGCACCGCAGGCGCCGGGCACCACGCCGCCCGCCGCCTCGTCGCCCGCCAGCGCGGGGCCCAGCGGGTCGCCGCCCACGTCGGGCCCCACGGCTGCCCGCACGTGCGCGATCCTGGGGCGGAGGATAACGGGATGACTAAGCATGCGGTCCTGCTCCTCCACCCTCGCGCTGGCCATCGCTCGGACGTCCATTCCCTGTGTTTTTTGTCGGTTTCGTGCGTGTTTTTTTCGCCAAGTGATCAAGGATGCTCCTTTATGGTCCTCGCCGAAGGAAAGATGCACACGTCCGAGCGATGCCAAGCGCGAGCGTGAAAAAACACCCGGTCACTCCAGCTCCAACATGGCCTACCGAGCGCCCGGGACGTCTCTACTCCGCCGGAGGCCGGCGGAATGGCGTAAGCCACCTTGGATAAACACACGGTCGGGAACTTGCTTGCGTGTCGCGGCAGCGGCCTCAGCGACACGCCATGCCTTGCAAACTGATGGCGTGTCGCTCCGCATCGCGGGACGGGAGGCTGGGAAAGGCTCGGGATGCTATGCTCGGGGGCTGGGACGTGATTAGCGCGTCGCCACGAAGCATTGTGGGCCAGAACTGGCTGCGCGACACGCTAGCCAAGAGTTCCCGACCGTAAACATACACGCTCGAAGGTCCGCGCGGATTCCTCGGATCTGCGCTGGACCTTTTTTGCTGGCGCGCAGAGCGCGCCAGGGGGTCCAGGGCCGATCCAAGAAACCCTAGCCGACCTCCGACAGCTTGTTTATTCCCGTTTTCTCTTCTGCGCGATCCGGCTCTTCAGGGCGCCCCTGTACTTCAGCAGTTTCTCCTCGGCTGGAGATTCTCCTCGTCGTCAGACCCCCACGTCTTGATCCTCCTCCCCCTCCTCTTCCTCCTCCTCCTCCTCCTCCTCCTCCTCCTCCTCCTCCTCCTCCTCCTCCTCCCCCTCCTCCTCTTCCTCTTCCTCCTCCTCCTCTTCTCCTCCTCCTCCTTCTTCTCCTCCTCCTCCTCCTCCTCCTCCTCCTCCTCCTCCTCGTCCTCCCTCCTCCTCCCCCAGGAGGCCCGGAGAAGAGGAGACCTCTGCCGCGCCCTGCTCCTGCTCCAGCGACAGCTGCTTCAGGAGCAGCTCCATCCACTGCCTGCTCGTGGCCAGCCGCCTGCACATCTGGGCCAGCTGCTCCGCCGTCATGAAGGAGCAGTCCGCCCCGGCGCTGGGCTCCGTCATCGCCGGCGCATCGCGTGGCGGCTCAGACGCCCAACGTCTCTCGGCGTCGCGCCCAGGGGGGCAGTGCGAGGGGGCAGGCCTGCTCAGCAGGCGGCGGGGCTTCTCAGAAAAGCCCCCGCGGGGGCCTCCTGCTGAGAGGCTTCTCTGTGCCGTCGGGGCTAAGGCCCAGACGACTGCTCAAGAGGCCCGAGGCCTTCCGAGGCCCTCTGAGGAGGCCCGCCCCTCCTCGCTTCCCCGCTGTCGGGGGGGCACCAGGGTGGGGCGGGGGCAAAGGTGGGGCTGGAGTGGAGGGAAGATCGCTCCGAGCGGCCCCTGGAAGAAGGAAACGCGCTAAAGGGCATCATCCAGCTGGGCCGTCCTTGGGATGACCCTCCCTCTGCGACTTGGGAGAACCTTGGGATGACCCTCCCTTGGGATTCCTCAGCCCCTCCCTTGGGAATCCCCCGGATGACCTTGGATAACCTTGGGACTCCCCAGCCCTGGCGGAGGGGGGAGGAGGCGGAGGAGGGAGGGAGGAGGAGGGAGGAGGAGGGAGGGAGGAGGAGAGGGAGGAGGAGGAGAAGGGAGGGGAGGGCAAGGGGGCGGCAGGCAGGTCAGGAGGGAGAGCACCCTTGGGATAGCCCTCCCTCTACGACTCCCCGACGCTGGGCTCGCCGCCGCGTGGCCCGGCAGCAACAAGAACCAGGAGGCGGAGGCTGCCCTGACTCCAGATCCGCCCTACTTTGGCTTTTTCCCCAACGTAGAATTGCGTCGGAAATCCACCTATAAGAAGCCGAAAAAGTAGGGCGGAAATTTCTGTACCCAACACAAATAAGGCGGAAAAATCCACAGAAGTAGGGCGGAAAGAGCAACAGAAAAGTAGGGCAGAAATTGGCATCAGCGGGGCTTGAAAAGTAACGCGGAAATTCCAAGCCATATTTACGAATTTCCCCCAATTAGGGCGGATCCGGAGTCAGGGTCGACAGCGCCCCGCGGCCTCCGGGAGGTGGGCCCTCTCTCGAGGGGCCGCAGGGGGGCTCTCAAGAGACGGCGTCGGGACGGGAGGAGGAGGAGGAGGAGGAGGAGGAGGAGGAGGAGGAGGAGGAGGAGGAGGAGGAGGAGGAGGAGGAGGAGGAGGAGAGGCTCGGCCGGGACTCCCGGGGAGCGTCGTCGTCGCCGTCGCCGGCGTCCGTCACTGGCGTCCGTCGTCGTTTCTCGTTCGCTCGCCCGCCCGGTCGTTCGCTCGTTTGGTCGCTCGGTCGGGATTTCCAGGGACCCCGTGTGGACGAACTCGAGACGTCGGCTGTCTGGGGAAGGCTGCAGCAACAGAAGGGTGCAGAAGGGTTAGGCTGGGCATGTCCTCCTACAGGCGGATCTTGGACGACAAATTGAAAAGAGTCAGACAATACCCCAGAATGTTCAACAAATGCTCGAAACATCGTCCCCCGACGATTTTCCCCGATCAGAGCTTGCCTCTGGGGGGGTCCTAGCGGATTCATATTGTTAGGTGAGTGTCGCGGCCGATTTCGGTGGCCGGGCCAGGTGCCCGGGTGCCGGGGTGCCCGGGTGCCTGGGTGCCCAGGTGAAAGTCGTGACCGATTTCGGTGGACGGGCCGGGTGCCTGGGTAGCCGGATTCCCGGGTGCCTTATAGCCCTATCCCTGGTAGACAGCCAGAAACAAGAATAGACACTTTTAGAAATTCTGAGCTTCCCGTTAAGGCGCCGTGCGCACAGTACCTATTAGTCTCTATTTTTAGAAATAGACGCTTTTAGAAATTATCGTGCTCCCGCTGAGGCCTGGTGGTCAGAATATCTAAAAGTATCTATTTCGGACAGTGTCTAAAAATATGTTTGTGCATCGGCTGTGTTGCAAGATTTGCGTGTCTATTAGTGTCTAACTAGTATCTATTTAGTATATATTTTTAAGCGACAGCATCTATCTTTAAGGCACGAAGTGGCGACCATAGTAGAGCTGAGAAGACCAGCTTCAAACAGTCCACGACATTCAATCGAAGGTGGCGTGGATGCGTGCACGTGAACGTCTGCATGGGCCTGTATGCATGTGACGATGTGTGCATGTGTATGGGTGCGCGCGGAAGTGTATGGCGTACGTGCGCGCGCGTGTGTGTGTGTGTTAGTGTGTGTGTGTGTTAGTGTGTGTGTGTGCGTGTTTGTGTTGTGTTGTGTGTGTGTGTTGTGTGTGTGTGTGTGTGTGTGTGTGTGTGTGTGTGTGTGTGTCTGTGTGTCTGTGTGAGCGTGCGTGCGTGCGTGCGTGCGTGCGTGCGTGCGTGCGTGCGCGCGTGCGTGCGCGCGCGTGCGCGCGTACGTTTGTGTGTGTGTGTGTGTGTGGAGGGCCTTGAAGGGCCCAAGAGGGCGCATGGGGTAAGTAAACACAAAGTTTCGAGTCATATACGCTGCTGAGGCCCTCTTGGGCCCCTCTCGGACCCCTTCTTCGGCCCTCTTGGGGTATTCAGGGGGCCCTCCGGGACCCTCCATGAATCTCGAAGAGCCCCTAGACGGTTCCAAGAGGGCCCGAAAGGGTTCAAGGGGTGAATGAAACCACAGCCTCGAGTCATGTACACCGCTGGGGCCCTCGTGGACTCCTCTTGGGTTCCTCTTGGAGCCAGTTGGGGCCCCCTGAGACCACGCTGGAGAGCCCCGAAAATGCTTCAAGAGGGCCCCCACGAGGGCTCCAAGGGGGTCAACCCCCAGTCGAAATAGAGGCACGCGACCAACTCGCCAACTCGCCATCCTTCCTCCTCCTCGTCCTCGTCCAACTCGCCATCCTTCCTCCTCCTCGTCCTCCCCCTCCTCCCTGCTCCTCCTCCTCACTGCTTCCTCCTCCTCCACCTCCAGTGCCGTCTCGCAGGGCCCCAATAAGGCTCCAAGGAGGGCCCAGGAGGAGTCAAACCGAAGTCACGCGAGTGCCCTTCTTGGGGCCCTATTGAGGCCCTCTCGGGGCCCTCAAATGCCGTTACGGAGAGCCCCAAGAGGGCTCCAAGGGGGCCCCCAGAGATCCAGGAGTGGCCGTGTGTGTCTATATATATATGTATATATACACATACATACATACATACATACATACATACACACGCACACACGCACGCACGCACGCACGCACGCACGCACGCACGCACGCACGCACGCACACACACAGACAGACAGACAGACAGACAGACAGACAGACAGACAGACAGACAGACAGACAGACAGACAGACAGACAGGCAGGCAGGCAGGCAGACAGACAGACACAGACAAACACACACACACATACACACACACACACACACGCACATCCCTTAGGGATCCTTAGGGAATCCTCCGGAATCCCCGAGGAATCCTGCGGAAGCCCTAGGGGATCTTGAAGGAATCGCAGGGAGTCCCTAGAAATCCTTGTTGGGAATCCTTCGGGATCCCTAGGGAATCCTTAGGGAATCTTTCGGGCACCCTTAGGGAATCCCGTAGGGAATCTTTCGGGTATCCTAGGAAATCTTGTGAGAATCCTTAAGGAAACCTTCAGGAATGCTGAGGAATCCTTTCTGGGAATCCTGAGGAATCCCTAGGGAATGCTAAAAAATCCTCAGGAAGCATTGGGAGATCTGAGGAATTCCGGAGCAATCCCGAGTGAATCCGATGGAATCCCTTGGCAATTCTTAGGACCCCATAAGGAATCCATTGGAATCCCTTGGAATCCTTAAGAAATCCTTGGGAATCCGTAAGGAATCTTTAAGAATCCGCAAGGAATCCTTAGGAATCCCTAGGGAATCCTTAGCAAGCCGATAGGGAATCCTTACGAATCCAAAGAGAAATCTTTAGGAATCCCTATAGGGAATCCCCAGGAATCCCTAGGACATCTTTAGGATTCCATATAGGAAATCCGCAGGAATCCCCAGGGAATCCTTCAGCAAGCCTTCAGGAATACTTCGGGATCCCGAGTGAATCCCTAAGGAATCCCTACGAATCCTTAAGGAATCCATAGGAATCCCTAGGGAACCACCCAATCTTCTAACCTCTGACGTTTCAGCGGAGCTTGGAGTGTCTATTTTTGGGCTCGGCCAAGGATTCGGCGCGCGCCAAATCTATCAGTATGTATTTGTTTCGAACCAGTTTCTATGTGTTGTGATGAGTTTCTATTTTCAACCCAAGGAAATTGCAATGCGTATCTATTTTCAACTAAGAGACGTGTCTATTAGTGTCTATGTGTCACAAAAAGCTGATTCCGTATCTATTTTTGGTAACAGTATCTATTTTGCACGTGTCTATTTTCATTTGATCACACGAATTGCAGATCAAAACAGCATAAAAATAGACTCGTGTTTCGCGCGCTCCGACTCAGATGCGTTGCGGCTTCGCCGTAGCAGGCGCGCACCAAAGATAGACACTACCAGTATCTATTTGTTGTCTACTAGGGATAGGCCTATAGCCTTCAAGCCCTATAGCCCTATAGCCCTATAGACCTATAGACCTATAGCTCTATATCCCGATAGCCCAATCGCCCTATAGCCCTATAGCCCTATGGCCCTATAGCCCTATGGCCCTATAGCCCTATAGCTCTAGAGCCCTATCGCCCTATAACCCTATAGCCCTACCTATAGCCCTATTGCCCAAGTGCCCTATAGTCCTGTAGCCCTGTTGCCCAATAGCCCTATAGCCATATAGCCCGATAGCCGTATAGCCCCATAGCCCCATAAAACACACACACAAATCTGATTGGGTTTTTCTCAGGTATCATTGTTTAGTATGCTTGAGTATTCCTCCTGTAGAGGGACAGGCCCGACTTAACAAAAGGGGGAGGGGGTGCAGGGGGCGCGCGCGCGCGCGTAGAGCCTTCGGCTGGCGAGGAGGGAGGCTCGGCACTCGGAGGCTGCGCCGATTGGGAAGGGAGGGAGGGAGGGAGGAAGAGGCAGGAGTCTTTGGAGTCCCGAAACGGTGCGGTGACAGACCGTGCGGTGACCTCGAAATTCCCCAAGACCTCACCGCACGGTCCGTCAGCGCACGGTTTTGGGACCTCGGAGGCCCCAGTCGCCCGAGACGTCCTCGG